ATTCCTCAGGCACAGAGGATCGGATCCCTTACCCAGCATAGGGCCCGCTTTGCACTGCCCCTCAAACCCTACCCTGCTGTCTCCTCCTCCCTAGCTGTCTCCCTCGGACTGCTAGCAAACACTGTCTGCTTTAACAATCCATCCAATCAGTAACTATGTTAATATCACCTACATTTATATTTCTACTTGCAAGCGCTCCCAAGGGCTCCAGACTCCTATATCCATCTACTGCCTACTTGACATCTCTACTTTGGTGTGTCAGCATTTTAAATGTAACACTTCCAGGTGGGCACGGAGGCTCATGCCCGTAATCCCAGCACTTTGGGAGGTTGAGGCGGGTGGACTGCTTGAGGCTAGGAGTTCGAGGCCAGTGTGGCCAACATGGTGAAACTCTGCCTCTATTAAAAATACAAAAATTAGTTGGGCATGGTAGTACACACCTGTAATCCCAGCTACTCAGGAGCATGAGGCACGAGAATCACTTGAACCCGGGACGTGGAGGTTGCAGTGAGCCAAGATTGCACTACTACACTCCAGCCTAAGTGACAGAGTGAGACTTCCTCTCAAAAAAGAAAAAAAGTAACACTGCCAAGGGCCAAGATTAGGCTCCTGGCCCCAATGACTTACTCCTTCCCTAAACCTCCCAGACTCAGTAAACAACACACAGCGGCTGAAGCACAAGCCCGGGAGATCTTCTGGAATGCCCTTCTCCTTCTCTTGCCCCACACAGACAATTCATCCACATGTCCCATTGATTCCACCTCTAGACTAATGAATCTGTGGACTTCTCAGCATCCCACTGTCCATTCCCTCTTGCCTGACGTAGAGTAACAGCCTCCTGAAGCCCTGCTTTCTCTCTTGCTCCCCTACCAAGCACTCTTAACAAAGCAGAGAGCAGCCAGAGAAATCATACTAGCGCAAAAATCAGGTCATGTCACTGTTGTTTGAAATGAATAGTCTCTCGTTGCATTTATAATAAATGCCAACTCATTCCCTGTCTCCTGTTCCATCTTCCCACATTCTGCCTTACTCACTCCATACCAGCCTTCTTGCCACACCTCAAAACTCCGAAGGCCTTGCCCTACCACAGGGCCTTTTTTTTTTTTTTTTTTTTTTTTGAGACGGAGTTTCGCTCTGTCACTCAGGGTGGAGTGCAGTTGTGTGATCTCGGCTCACTGCAGCCTCTGCCTTCTGGGTTCAGGCCATTCTCCTGCCTCAACCTCCTGAGTAGCTGGGACTACAGATGTGCATCACCAAAACAAGCTAATTTTTGTACTTTTAGAAGAGACAGGTTTCACCACATTGGCCAGGCTGGTCTCGAACTCCTGACCTCAGGTGATCCACCCACCTCAGCTCCCCAAAGTACTAGGATTACAGGCATGAGCCACCACACCTGGCCTCCCTATTTTCTCCAAATATGATTAGTAATAATCTGAAGTTGATCTTTTTGTGACATTACATCTAAGATAGTGTCTCAGGCTACAACATTAAGTTCTGTGAGGACACTAATGCATCCCCATTGGCTACAGAGAGTGACAACGGAAAAAGAGAACTCACAAAAGGCTCCTGGAAGGTCCCCAACCTACCCCAGAGATGGTGCACCACATAGAGCTCTCCAATCTGTGAGAAGAAGCCACCCACTGCCTCCTGGTTCTCCTGCCGGTACTTGATGGCCCGAGCCCTGGAGAAGGCAGAATAATATGAGGCAGAAGCCAGGGCTGGTGCAAAGAGTACTGAGGCTGATTCCTTGGCCACACCTCACAGGAGGGGCCTAGGTAGAACCCACGGTTCTCCAGGATGCTATGGGAAAGGGCTGATGGCTGGGTGTTCTACCAACGGAGGGCTCACAATCTTCTAGGAGATCCTCACCTCCTGGTTGGAGCCTTCTCCCAAATCCTTGTGGGGCAGAGGGTACTGAGTTCCCTGTGCTATGGCCCTGAAAAAGGTGGCCCACCTTGGTGGGGCAGGTAAGCAGGTTATCACCCAACCCCAGTCCTGGTGCTGACACTTACCAGTTGTTCCCCCACTCGATCATGGTTCCTGGCTGAAAGAGAACCAAAGAGATGATGGGAATGAGCCCCCACCTTGTATTCATAACATCACAGCCAAGCAAGGAGGGGAAACTGCCCTGTCTCCCCACCTCCCCAGCTCCAGCGGCTGTGTGGCCTCACTCTCATGCCCTGATGCACACCTGGTATATGCATGTTTACACACGTGTACACAACTCTGCCCTGAGCCCACAGGAAAGGAGAAGCCAGAAGCCCCAGTCTAGGTGTTGGGGCAGCTGCAAAGCAGCACTGCAGCAGGGAAGTTGGGGGGTAGTAAGGGGTCCGTTGGAGGGAGGCACCTTGAGCTTATATGTCCTCAGCTCATAGATGTTGGGACCCACTCTGGGCTGTGGCTCATTCCAGAAGCTGAACTCGAGGAGCAACTGGTTTCTCCTGGACAGCAGCATCTGGCTCCGCTCCCTTCGGAACTCCAGGTACTCCTGCGGGCATGGTGGTAAAGGCACAGCTACTAGGAAGTGCCCTCCATCCTGACAGTGTGCCTCATGGGGTGGCAGAGGAGTCCCCAGCACAGGACTGGGCTGCCTCTAACATCCAGAGAGGTGTGCTGAGAGGACACTAACATACCTTATTGTTTTTGAGCTTGTTCATGCAGTCCATGAGGGCTGGGTAGCCACCTGAAAATCGCCACAGGTGCACTGTTGGGGGTGAGAGGTATAGGTCAGTGGGTTGCTGGGACCCCCAGCAGATGGCCTCCCCAAGGTTAGTTGAGTGTACATGTGGTGGGGGAGGCAGGTGACCCGGTTCCCTGTAGCAGCAAGACTCTCTGAGTTTCCTCTGCCGTGGTGGAGAACCATGCTGTGGAGGGGATGACCCCAGACACAGGTCTAGGAGAACTGGAGTTGAGCTCTAGCTCAGCCCAGTGGCTTTAAACTGCTCTAGGCCTCAATGTTCTCATCTTGAAAATGGGAATAATGCTCCTACCTACCCCACCTTCCTTAAATAGCAACAACAGGATCAGATGTGTCCTGTGCCCTGGGAACATGCATAAGGAAGACCACCAGGCCTCAAAGGGGCAGCTGGACAAAAGGACAGGGGAGATTTGATGGACTGATATGGAACATTCCAAGACAGTGCACTGAAAAAAAGAACCAAGGAACAGAAGAGTATATGTGATATGTTGAGGGGGCAAGGACACATCCAGAGATGCTGATTTACGCATCACCTCTTAATAGCGACTTTAAGAGACTGACAGTAGATGCCCCTGGGACATAGAATGGAGGCCTGTGGGTCCTCATGCAGGAGGGAAGCTTACTTTGCCTGGAAAACTCTTTGTACTGTTAGAATTTCTAAAAACCCTATTATTGGCTAGGCCTGTAAGCATTCTAGGAGGCCAAGGCAGGCAAATCACTTGAGGTTAGGAGTTTGAGACCAGCCTGGCCAACAGGGTGAAATCCCATCTCTATTAAAAATACAAAAATCAGCTGGGCGTGGTGACACACACCTGAAATCCCAGCTACTCAGGAGGCTGAGGCAGGAGCATCACTTGAACCTGTTAGATGGAGGTTGCAGTAAGTCAAGATTGTGCCACTGCACTCCAGCCTGGGTGGCAGAGTGAAACTCCGTCTCAAATTAATTAATTAATTAATTTATAATTAAATTAAATTAAATTTTTGAAAAATCAACTTTGGGAGGTCAAGGCGGGTGGATCACCTGAGGTCAGAAGTTCAAAACCAGCTTGATCAACATGGCTAAACCCCATCTCTACTAAAATTACAAAATTAGCCAGGCATGGTAGCGTATACCAGTAATCCCAGCTACTCAGGAGGCTGAGGCAGGAGAATTGCTTGAACCCGGGAGATGGAGATTGCAGTGAGGTGAGATTACATCATTGCACTTTAGCCTTGGCAACAAGACCTAACTCAGTTTCAAAAAATATTAAAAGGCTGGGCGCAGTGGCTCACACCTGTAATCCAGCACTTCGGGTGGCCGAGGTGGGCTGATTACCTGAGGTCTGGAGTTTGAGGCCAACCTGACCAATATGGCAAAACCCTGTCTCTGCTAAAAATACAAAAATTGGCCAGGTGTGGTGGCGCGTGTCTGTAATCCCAGCTACTCAGGAGGCTGAGGCAAGAGAATCACCTGAACCTAGGATGCAGAGCTTGCAGTAAACTGCGATATTGCCACTGCGCTCCAGCCTGGGGGACTCCATCTCAAACAAACAAAAAACCTCAAGATCAGCCAAGCACAGTGGCTCAGGTCTGCAATCCCAACACTCTAGGAGGCCAAAGCAGGAGGAACACTTGAGCCCAGGAGTTTGAGACCAGCCTGGGCAACATACCAAGACCTCATCTCTACAAAGCAAAACAAAACAATTGGCTCAGGCATGGTGGTGCATGCCTGTGGTCCCAGCTACTGGAGAAGCGGCGGTAAGAGGATCTCCTGAGCCCAGGAGTTCGAGGTTGCAGTGAGCTATGATCATACCACTGCACTCCAAACTGGATGACAGAACAAGACCCTGTCCCAAATAGAAAAATTAAAAAAAAATAAGCCAGGAGTGGTGGTTCACGCCTATAACCCCAGCACTTTGGGAGGCTGAGGTGGGCAGATTACCTGAGGTCAGGAGTTCGAGACCATCCTGACCAACATGGTGAAACCCCATCTCTACTAAAAATACAAAATTAGCCAGGCATGGTGGCACACACCCAAAATCCCAGCTACCTGGTAGGCTGGCTGAGGCAGGAGAAGCACTTGAACTCAGGATACAGAGGTTGCTGAGATCACACCACTACACGCCAGCCTGGGTGACAGAGTGAGACCCTGTTTCACAAGAAAAAGGAAAAAAAAAAAAAAAAAAGGCCAGGTGCAGTGGCTCATGCCTGTAATCTCAGCACTTTGGGAGGCCAAGGCAGGCAGATCACTGAGGTCAGGAGTTCAAGACCAGCCTTTCCAACATGGTGAAACCCTGTATCTATTAAAAAATATAAAAATTAGCTGGGCATGGTGGTGGGAATCCGTAATCCCAGCTACTCATGAGGCTGAGGCCGGAAGATCACTTGAACCCAGGAGGGAGAGGTTGTGGTGAGCCAAGATTGCACTACTGCACTCCAGCCTGGGCAACAAGAGCAAAACTCTGACACAAAAATAATAAAAGACGGCTAGGTGCTTCGGGAACCATGGCTTAGGTGCAGACATGGCCAAGTCCAAGAACCACACCACACACAACCAGTCTCGAAAATGGCATAGAAATGGCATCAAGAAACCCCGATCACAAAGATACGAATCTCTTAAGGGGGTGGACCCCAAGTTCCTGAGGAACATGCACTTTGCCAAAAAGCACAACAAGAAGGGCCTAAAGAAGACACAGGCCAACAATGCCAAGGCGATGAGTGCACGTGCCGAGGCCATCAAGGCCCTTGTAAAGCCCAAGGAGGTTAAGCCCAAGATGCCAAAGGGTGTCAGCCACAAGCTCCATCGACTTGCCTGCATTGCCCACCCTAAGCTTGGGAAGGGGCTCAGGCTCTGCCGGCCAAAGGTCAAGGCCAAGGCCAAGGATCAAACCAAGGCCCAGGCTGCAGCTCCAGCTTCAGTTCCAGCTCAGGCTCCCAAAGGTGCCCAGGCCCCTACAAAGGCTTCAGAGTAGACATCTCTGTCTGCCAACGTGAGGACAGAAGGACTGGTGGGACCCCCCAGGACTGCCATCTGCATGGGGCTGGGGTCCTCCTATGCTATTTGTACAAATAAACCTGAGGCAGGAAAAATATAATAATAATAAAAGACGGGTGATCCAGTTTAAGCAGGCAAGGAAGAAATCATGCTTAAGGCAGAAGAAAGAGCATGAGCAGTAGTCTGGAACTAAAGAATGAAACTGTCAATCTGAGGAATTGAGTCCTGGGCAGCACAGCACTGAGCAAGGAGGATGTGGTGCCGTGAGGCTGGAGGTGGGGCTGGGAAGGACTCAAAGGCTGCATGGGTCTCCCTAAGGGCACAGGGGAGCCACGACAGGTGTTTGAGAAGGGGAGTGAGGCAATTAGATTTTAGGAAGAGCCCCGCCAGATGCTGTTGTGAAGAGGGAGTGGAGGATGGCCTAGTATGAAAGGTGCTGAAGGCCTTGGCTGGCACTGGTTAGGTGACCACCTTACCTGCCTGGTCCTGTTCCCCATACCATGTGTTCCAGTTGCCCACCAGTGAGCAGGGGTAGTCCTCATCCAGGTGCAGCTTGGGCAGCACAGCCTCCCTATGGGAAGGGCACAGAGAAGGGGCAGGATTCACACAGCCACCAGGGCCTCTGAGATAAGGGTTCAAACTCAGTTCAAACTGCAGACCCTGAGGCTAGGCCTCAGACTTTCCATCTCTAAAATGCAGAAGCTAGGAAAGAGGTCTTGAGGACTTCCGACTCTGAAATTTACATCCTGGCTGGGCACAGTGGCTCACACCTGTAATCCCAACACTGGGAGGCTGAGGCAGGAGGATTGCTTGAGCCCAGTAGTTTTAGACCAGTGTGGGCAGCAAAGTGTGACCCTCCCATCTCTCTTTCTTTGTCGTTGTTTTTGAGACGGAGTTTTGCTCTTGTCACCCAGGCTGCAGTGCAGTGGCACAATCTTGGCTCACTGCAACCTCTGCCTCTTGGAGACTGCATCTCTTTAAAAAAAAGAAAAAGGAGCAGGGTGCCGTGGCACACACCTGTAATCCCAGCACTTTGGGAGCCTGAGGCGAATGGATCACCTGAGGTCAGGAGTTTGCGACTAACATGGTGAAACCCTGTCTCTACAAAATAGAAAAAAATTAGCCAGGTGTGATGGCACATGCCTATAATCCAAGCTACTTGGGAGGCTGAGACAGGAGAATCATTTGTACCTGGAAGGCAGAGATTGCAGTGAGCTAAGATCGCCCCATTGCACTCCAGCCTGGGCAACAAGAGTGAAACTCTGTCTCAAGAAAAAAAAAAAGGAAGAAATAAAAGAAATCTACAACTCCTGGACTTCTGCAAAAACAACGGAGTGGAGGATGTTCTGCGGATTTGCTGAGAGTGTGTTCCCCACCCAAGCAGAGGCTGGGATGGGTGGATACAGGATGCTCACGTGAGGCTGTTGTAGGCGTCCAGGTATTCCGGCTTTACATTGTGAACTGCAACAGAGGACAGAGAGTGAGAAGTGAGGCAGGGTGTGTACACAAGGAAGAACTTGGGGAGGGAGCCCATCAAGGCCACGGGTCCCAGGACAGCTGAGGATGTTCCAGACCCTTCCATCTCCATGCTGGAGCCTCACAGGCCCCCAGAGCCACTGAAAGGGCGGAGGTTGGTTTGGTCAGCTCAGCAGCCACTCACACTGGATCTTGTAGAGGTTGCTGGTTTCCTTCTTGGACAGCAGGGTGGAGTGGGCATCCTTCCGGGGATCCACCTTGTGAACAAAGAGGGAGCGGAACCAGCTGCCTTCATTGTCCTTGGAATAGAAACTGCAGGACAGAGGAGTTGATGGGGACATGCGGAGGTGGGGGGAGCCCCAGCAAATTCCATCTGCTTGGATGTCCTGCTCTCCTAGACCAGTGACCCACATTTCTGGGAACAGGTCCACGAAGTCCTGTGACAGCTCCAAAGTGTGAAATGCTACTGGAGCCAGCTCCTTTCCACAGAGATTCCAGCTGCCCAGTTGGCTTCTTGGAGTTGTGCAGAGCCTCAGGAGGCCAGGAGAGGCAGCCCTACCTCCAACATCTCTCTCTAGCCTCCCTGCCTCCACTTCATCCCCCTTCCAAGAGGTCCTCTTCTTGGGTAACACAACTGCAGCCTCTTGCCAAGAGGATCAACCCCAAATTCAGCTTGCATCGTGCCCAAAGCCCTTGACAACTCAACCTAACTCATCAGCTTCCTCTCCGGCCCCCTTACCTGTACACCACACTCTTCAGGTGTGCTCTTCCCTGAACACACTAGGTGGTTACTCTGTGCTTTCTTTGCAAGTTCTGTCCCCTCTAACAAGAAGACTGCTCTCACCATCCTCCCCAGCACTCACAGTGCACTTGGTCCATGTCTCCACCCTGATCCGGAAAGTGGAAAGCCAAATACAAATAAGCTTTGTCCTTGAGGAGCTCATAGTCCGCTAGAAGAAATGGGCCTTGGGACACAATTATAGCAGAGGTCTCTGAAGAGCCCAGGTGAGCCAGCCTTAACTCTGCTTCTGGCAACCTGGGCACACTCTCCTCTCTACAGAGAAGGAGGTGAGTTGGCCAGTCCCCAGGGCTGGTTTGGCAGATAGTGGCAGATAGAGCGGGTAAAAGCCATTGGAAAGCAAGATGCATTCACTCATCCAGCCAATACCTGTTCTGCCTATCTCAATAGGATACTGTGAGAATGAATGAATAATCAATGAAATCGACTATGTGCTTTGCCCATGAGCACCGTGGTTAAGGGCAGTGGGGTGTGTGCTGCCAGTGTTAACTGGACCAGAATTGCACCCCCATCCTAAACACATACCCAAGGTCTAAGAGTCCCAGCAGGGAGCAGGGGGTGCTTATTTTGAGGCCACCAATCTTCTTGCTCCATAGCCTTGGTGAAGCTTACAGCCAGACCTGAAAAGGAAGTCTCCCGATGGGGACAATCCTAGCCAGGGAGCCTGGCAAGAGGGGTCCCTGAGTGGCAGCAAGCCCTATCCCTTTTTTCTTTGTTGTTTATTGCCTAGCCAGCCCTATCCCTTTTAAAGACTTTTTTTGTGGCTAGAACAAATGTCTTAGGCTGGGCATGGTGGTTCACCCCTGTAATCCCAGCACTTTGGGAGGCTGAGGAGGGTAGATCACCTGAGGTGAGAAGTTTGACACCAGCCTGGCCAACATTGCGAAACCTCATCTCCACTCAAGATACAAAAATTAGCCAGACGTGGTAGTGGGCGCCTGTAATCCCAGCTACTCTAGAGGCTGAAGCAGGATGATTGCTTGAACCTGGGAGGTGGAGGTTGCAGTAAGCCGAGATCATGCCACTGTACTTCAGCCTGGGTGACAAAGGGAGAATCCGTCTCAAAAAAAAAAAAAAAAAAAAAAGAACAAATGTCTTACAAATAAAAACATCACTTTTTTCCAAAGTATGGAGCAGCCATTGAGACTGATAAAATTTAAAAATCAGCTGGGCACTGTGGCTAAAAACCTGTAATCCCAGTGCTTTGGGAGGCCGATGTCAGGGGATTGCTTGAGCCCAGGAGTTTAAGACCAGCCTGGGTAACAAAACGAGACTCCATCTCTACAAAAAATAAAATAAATATGACTGGCTTATGCCTGTAAACCCAGCACTTTTGGAGGCTGAGGCAGGAGGATCACTTGAGTCCAGGAGTTCAAGACAAGCCTGAACAGCCTTATGAGACCTTGTTTCTACAAAAAATAAAGTTAGCTGGACATGATGTTTTGTGCCTGTAGTCCCAGTTACTTGGGAGGCTGAGGTGGTAGGATCACTTAAGCCCAGGAGGTTGAAGCTGTACTGAGCCGAGATCTTGCCACTGTACTCCAGCTTGGGCAACAGAGCCAGACCCTATCTCAAAAAAAAAAAAAAAAAGGCTGGGCATGATGCTTCATGCTTGTAATCCTAGCACTTTGGGGAGGCCAAGGCAGGTGGATTGCCTAAGCTCCGGAGTTCAAGTCTAGCCTGGGCAACATGGCAAAACCCCACTTCTACTAAAAAAATATATATATATACAAAAAAATTAGCCAGGAGTGGTGATGTGTGCCTGTAGTCCCAGCTACTTGGGAGGCTGAGGCGGAATTGCTTGAATCCAGGAGGTGGAGGCTGCAGTGAACCAAGATCGCACCAATGCACACCAGCCTGGGTGACAGAGTAGGACTGTTTCCAACCCCCCTGCCGAAAAAAAAAGAAAGAAAGAAAAAAAAAAAAAGAATTGACTTGTCCCAAACTGTTAATACTGCTTAACCTCGGAAAAAGGAATAAGAGATGGCTAACTTTTTCTTTATTCATTATAATTTTTTGTAAAGATTTTTAGAAGTATGTTAAGCATTTCTGAATTCATGGACTCTCTTGGTCATTGTACATGCATTTGCTTTATTAGCAAAAAGACAATTATCTTTTTTTTGTTTTGAGACCGAGTTTTACTCTAGTTGCCCAGGCTAGAGTGCAATGGAGCCATTTTGGCTCACCACATCTGCCTCCCAGGTTCAAGCAATTCTCCTGCCTCAGCCTCCCGAGTAGCTGGGATTACAGGCATGCGCCACCATGCCGGGCTAATTTTGTATTTTTAGAAGAGACAGGGTTTCTCCATGTTGGTCAGGCTGGTCTTGAACTCCCGACCTCAGGTGATCCGCCTCCCAGAGTGCCAGGGTTACAGGCGTGAGCCACCAAACCCAGCCCAAAAAGACAATTATCATTAGATGGGTAGTGTGGTCTGTGACATTTTCGGACCAGAATAAGAGAGGCTCTAAGCCAGGGATCTGTGATACACTTTTCCTTTTTTTTTTGAGATAGAGTTTCGCTCTTGTTACCCAGGCTGGAGTGCAATGGTGCGATCTCGGCTCCCAGCAACCTCCGCCTCCTGGGTTCAGGCAATTCTCCTGCCTCAGCCTCCTGAGTAGCTGGGATTACAGGCACGTGCCATCATGCCCAGCTAATTTTTTTGTGTTTTTAGTAGAGACGGGGTTTCACCATGTTGACCAGGATGGTCTCAATCTCTTTACCTCGTGATCTACCCACCTCCCAAAGTGCTGGGATTACAGGCGTGAGCCACCGCGCCCGGACAGTGATACACTTTTCAGCTGCATGATCTCACTGACTGTG